CCCACCTCTGACCTTCGTCTCTCCTCACTGCCGTGTTCCCCTTCTTATTCATGTCATACTAATTCTGTTTCTCTTTCCCCTCTCTCACAGATCTGCTCCTCCTCCTCATAGTCCTGTTTCTACTACACACACACACACACACACACACAGAGCTAGGGTTTACATGTGAGAGAAAACATGGAATTTGTTTTTCTAAATCTGGCTTATTTTGCTTAACACAATGGTCTTCGGTTGTATCCATTTCCTGCAAACGTCCTGATTTTATTTGCATTTATCATGGAGTGAAATTCCATTGTGTATGTGCACCTCACTGTCTTCATCTGCTGAAGGACATCTAGGCTAGCATTGGGTCCTGGCTGTTGTGAATCACTAGTGCTGTAGTAAACACGTGGGCAGGTGTCTGTGGTGTGTGGCCTTTGACCTGAGTCCTTTGAGTATATGCTCAGGAGTGGCAGTTCTAATTTTAATTCTCTCTCTCTCTCCTTTTGGTATTTTTGAGACAGGGTCTCACTGTGTAGCTCTGGCTGTCCTAGAACTCACTATGTCTCCCTAGTGCTGGGGTTAAAGGTGTGCACCACCACACCTGCATTCATTTTCATTCTTTTTGTTTTTTGTTTTTCTTTTTTGTTTGTTTGTTTTTCATGACAGGGTTTCTCTGTGTAGCTTTGCGCCTTTCCTGGAACTCGCTTTGGAGAACAGGCTGGCCTCGAACTCACAGAGATCCGCCTGCCTCTGCCTCCCGAGTGCTGGAATTAAAGGCGTGCGCCACCACCACCCAGCTGTCATTCTTTTGAGAAGCCCTCAGGCTGCATTCCCCTGGTGGCTGCAATAGTTTCCGTCCTCACCAATAGTGTGTGATGATTCCTTTTCCAGCACATCTCTACCATTTTGTTATTGTTGCTTATTAACTATGGCCACTCTGACTGTGCGGTGACGCCATCTTGTGACTCAATGAAGGTGTTGCTGAGAACTAAGGCTTCCTAGGAAACTCAAGCTTGGCCCTTGGTTCAGACTTTTGAGATGGTGAATGGGATTGTTTTCATGATTTCTTTCCTGATAATTGTTGTTGATATATAGGAAGGCTACTAATTTTTAAAAATTTTTTACCCATTAGTTTGATGAACGCATTTATCAACTGTAGGAGTTTTCAAGTTTTTTAAGGTCTTTTATATAGAATAATACCATTTGATAATAAGGGTATTTCGGTAGTTTGAGAATGTACCCCATTAACTCATGTATATGAACACTTAATCCCCCGTTGTCAGTGCTAGGTATAGGAGGCGTGGCCTTCCTAGAGGAAGTACCTTACAGGGGCCAGGAAGCTTGAAATCATTCCCAGCGCTCGCTCACCCGGCTTTGTGGTTAGGGTTCAAGATGTGAGCTCTCATCTGCTCCAGCCACCATCGCCGCTGGCCATCATGACTCCCCCACTGGGATGGTGACGGGAGTCCATCTTGAACCACAGCCCAGATAAATCCTTTCTTCTATTAGTTGCCTTGCCATGGTGTTTTATCCCAGCAATAGAAAGGTCACCTTGGACTTCTTCCTTCTCTGTTTGTGTCCCGCTTATCACGTCCACATGTCTTATTGCTCTAGCTGAGATTTCAAGCGCTGTGTTGAACACACAGAGAGAGTGGCCTTCCTTGTCTCCTCTGAGTTTCGTGGAACTGTTTTGAGTTTTTATCAATTTGGCAAGATGTTGGCTGTGGACTCATCGTCTGTTGCCCGTATTGTGTTGAGATCTGACTCCTATGGCCCACTAAGCCGTCTCACCTATCCGCATAAGGGCTTTACATCGTCTTTCTTTATTGTTTTAAATATAGAGGTCTTTCACATCCTTAATTCGGTTTATTTTTAGGTATTTTATTTTTCTGGGAGCTGTTGTGAATGGCATTTCTCTCACGGCAAGGCCATTATTGGTATAGAATGGCAACTGATTTCTGTAGGCGGATTTCATATCCTGACGCTTTGCTGAATGTGCACATCAGCTCTCACAGTTTTTCTGGTGTAATCTTGAAGGCCTAAGCTTTTCAGTATAGGATCATGTTTGCTGCAAATAAACATGCTTTGATGCCTTCCTTTCGTGTTTGAGTCCCTTTTATTTCTTTCTCTTTTATTGCCGTAGCCATGACGTCATCACTATGCTGAGCAGGAGCAGTGAGAGCTGGCACACTTGCCCTCTTCCTGACCAGGACTCTGAAGTGCTGACTTTTCCCATGTTGCTGACCTCCTTAACTTGTCGTTTTTACTGATTTCAGTTTCTTTGAACCCAGTAGCTGAAGAGTTACAGTCTTTTGGAGGAGCCATGTTGCCCCTCTTTTCTCTTGTTTCTTGTGATTCCGTATTGTGATTTGTACATCTGTTGTTTGGATGTTTCTCCAGTTTATTTGGGGACTTTCTCATTAAGTAGCCTATTCTTGAAGGCTCACTTCCCAGGACCACTCAGTTATAACAGGAACAGCATACACCACACAAGACACAGAAATACACTTCAGTCTACGAATAGATCACCAGGGATGATGAGCCGAAAGTGGGAACACTAATGCAGGTGATTTGGGGGAAGCTCTTCTGCTTCAGCCCCCATCAGGGAGCCACGGTCAGCTTGACACCCTTCTTTGTTTGGTTTTTCCAGACAGAGTTTCTCTATTTAACAGCCCTGACTGTCCTAGAACTCACTCTGTAGATCAGGCTGGCCTCGAACTCAGATTCGCCTCAAACTCAGATCCACCTCAAACTCAGATCCGCCTGCCTCTGCCTCCTGAGTGCTGGGATTAAAGGAGTGTGCCACCACCGCTTGGCCAGCTTGACACCTTTCAGTGAGTCCTTCATCTTTCGCCCACATCTCTTTCTGAGTTCTTGACACTTTCTTTCTCTCTTTGAAATAGTCTATTTTTTCCTCCCTGCCTTTTATTGAGACAGAATTTCTTATAGCCCAGATTAGCCTTGACCTTACTATGTATCTGAGGATGACCTTGAACTCCTGATCCTCCAGCCTCTACCTCCCAACTGTTACCATCACAGATGTGTACCACCACTGCCCAGCTGGGGTCTGTTTTTCTTATTCTCCATCTTTTCCTTCACTGTACCACACAGAGACTAGTCTGCTGTCTTACCTAGAACCCCCTTTTACTTTTGATAATGAATGAACACTTCAGCCCTGATAAGAACTACTCTTTGGCCCTTGACCTTTGGAGCTGCTGGAGGTGTATCAGTGTCGGCCAGCGACCGACTCCACCTCACACAACTTCTAATTTAACTGTGAGTGGGAAGAAGTTCCAGCACTTAGCAGAGTCTGTGGAAGCTGTACTTCCTCACCACCCACTGGGTCCTAATTACCAGTCCCACGTGTGCCTGGCAGTGTCCAGGATCCACAGCAGTGGATGAAATAGGCCCAGCCCTCCTTTACAAAGGAACCACAATTATTCAATGAGGGGGAGAAAATAATTTTTAAAAAAGATAAAAAAATGTATTTTTTTTTTGTGTGTGTGTGTGTGTGGTGTGTGTTTATGTGTGTGTATGGAACCCTTAGAGGCCAGAGGAGCAAGTCAGATCCCCCTGAGTTGGAGTTACAGGCACTTGTGAATCACCTGCCATTGGTGTCGGGAACCAAACTCAGGTCCTTTGCAAAAGCAGCAGGAACAGTTTCGTGCCCTTAGCCACTGAACCACCTCTCCAGACCCAGGAAGCAGTTCTTGGTTGGACCTACTGTTGATATTTAATGGTAAATGGTCAGTTTTTTGAGAGCTCAAAAATTTACTGGATGTGTTAGTGCACCCCTGTGATCCCAGCACTTGGGAGGTAGAGGCAGGAGGATTGTGAGTTTGGGGCTAGTTTGGATTACACACTGAGATCCTGTCTCAAACAACAGAACAACCAGAGAAGTTGTATTGAGGGGGTTAGGTAACAGAATAGGATTATTGGGATGGGATATGGTCATGATTTCAAATTTTGTTCTGTTAAAAAAAAATCCCAAATAATAAGGGATTTATAACTAAGGCCAAGTTGTATTTCAATCTCCCTCTAAATAATAGAACAATTAATGACTAACTGATTTACATTTTTTTAAAATGAATGAGTGTGGTCACATGTGTGCCAGATTTCATCAAGCATAAATATGATGAGGTTAATCTGTTGCTCAAACATTGGATGGTGGTATGTAGGTCTATGTGCATGCGTGTGGGGGTGCATTTGCCACTGGGTGCATTTGCCCATGCATGCATGTGTAGAGGATGTTCTCATCGGCTGCTCTCCGTCTTGGTTTTTTGAGACAGAGTCTGTCATTAAACATGGAGCTCCCCATGTTAGCTAGACTGGCTGGCCACCAAGCCCCTGGAAGCTATTTGTCTCCACATATCCAGTGCTAAGGTTACAGACCCATGCTGCTGTGCTTGGCTTTTACGTGGGTGCTAGGGGATCCAGACTCACATCTTTATGCTTGTGTTGAGCCGTCTCTATAGCCCTCCCTTTTAGTGATACTGGAGATTGGATTTAGAGCCTTGTACATACTAAGCAAGCACTGTACCAGCTAGTGCTCCCCCCCCACCTGAAAGTGTGTGTGTGTGTGTGTGTGTGTGTGTGTGTGTGTGTGTGTGTGTGTGTTGCGTGATTGCCTGTGAAGCCAGAAGAGGGCATTGGATGCCCTGGAGCTGGAGTTACAGGCAGTTGTGAGCTGCCAGCATGGGTGCCGATACTGAACTGGGGTCCTCTGGAAGAGCATCATGCGTCCTTCAGTTCTTGGCATCCTCTCCCACTCCCGCTCTCCTGCTCCCACCCCAGGTTTGCCTTTGTCCTCACAGCAGCCCTAATGTGCTTTTCTCTCCACCTTGCCACTGGCCACTGTGACTCCCTGTCCGTGGCTCTAGTAAGGACTAAGTGGAAGCTTTCTGGGCAGTGCCTGGCATTCAGGAGCTGGGGTCAGGTGTGTTGGTGTTCGCATAAAATGAAAAATGTGCTTCTGGTAACCGCTGCATGCCACTGCTCTTGGTCCCTTTGTCATCAAGGCATGAAATACTTCAAGTGTGACCACCAGATGTCCGTGTTCCTGTACATCGCATCCCTGCAAAACAACTGTTCCATCAGTGCCTACCCCTGCGACTCCTATCGGGACTATAGGAACGGCAAGTGTGTCAGCTGTGGCGTTGGACAAGCAGTGCCCTGTCCCCTCCTGGGTAAGTCCTGTGATTCCCATCTCTGATGGGAATCAGAGTTAAGTCTTGTACATATCCTAGAGTCATTTTACTCTCTAAAAAATTGCCTCAGTTTGTATTTATTCAAGTTTTAGACAGTCAGCTCTATTTATTATTTGAGACAGGGCCTTGCTTAGGCTGGTTTGAGCTTACTCTGTAGCCCAGGATGCCCTTGAACCTGAGACCTTCTTGCCACAGCCTCTACAGCAGCAAGTGTTACAAGAGTGTACTACCACCCCAAATAATATTATAACCAACTTTTCATAGGTAATTTGTTTTCTTAACTACTCTTGAATGATCAAGGGTGTTAGATTAGGGCAGGGCAGCTCAGCAGGAAGGATTGAGAGTTTGAGACTAGTCCTGGCTACATAGAGAGACCCTCTTTTTCAAAAACAACATTAAACACACACACACACACACACACACACACACACACACACACACACACACACACACCAAAGCCAAAGCCAACGCCAACGCCAACGCCAACGCCAACGCCAAAGCCAAAGCCAAAGCAAACAACAGTTAGCACGTACCCAGTGTGAGAACAACAACCTCCATTGGGTTCCACATGGAGGTTGTTGCAGCTCCCCTAGACTTACTGTTTTGTCATGGAGAAGAGACGCTAGAGGGTTTGTAAGCCTCCCCAGGCTTTGCACAGCCCGCCCCACTCTGTACACACACCTCTGCTGCGGGAGATTCACAGTGAGCTAGGGACCCGGCCCAGGGCTGAGCCTTGCAGAGTGATCCCTCTCAACAGGTTGGGTCTATAAATGCTTCCTCTTTATACTCTGGCTCCTGTGTCCACGTGCAGGCCTTGGGTGGGGAAAAGATACTGGAGACTGCTGGGATATTTGCCAGAGTTAGAGGAAATATACCAGGTGGTCAGGACTTCAAGATTGGTTGGCTAGGAGCATTTTTCCTGACAGGTAGAAAGAGGCTCCACAGGGCAGCATTCAAGCTTGTCTCCCAGAGGCATTCACCTGCAGGGAGATATTCATCTGGCTCAGCAACACGGTTACACACCAAGCCATGTCCTGTATACTTTAGTGGCCTTAGTTTAGCTCTTCAAGAAAGCCATGGGGCCAGGTAGCCTACAACAGGCCTATAATCCCTGGTATTTGGCATGCTGAGGCAGGAGGATCTTGAGTTCAAGGTCCTGTCTCCAAAACAATATTTAAAAAAAAAAAATAACCACAGTGGGTTCAAGGGCAGCCTGAGTAACTTAGCAAGGCTCTGCATCAAAATAAAAAGCAAAACAAAAGGCCTGTGGGTAGAGCTTGGTGGTAGACTGTCTACCTAGCATGCTCAAGGCCCTGAAATGATTTCTAGCACTGTGTGTGTGTGTGTGTGTGTGTGTGTGTGTGTGTGTGTGTGTGTGTGTTGCTTAGGGTAAAGAGTGAATACTTTGCGTGCATGAGGCCCTGGGCCCTATCTTCAGAATGAAACAAACAAGACTCCATTGTTTTGCAATAGCGATTAGTGATGCTGCTGTTCTAAGTATGAGTCCCAATCTGGCTTAATGTTGAAAATGAATGAATGACTGAAAACTATCCGTGTGACCAGCGTGTGCCACTCCCTGCCGGGCTACTGAGCGCCAGTAAGGGAGAGGTCACAGTAGGGTCCTTCTGCACTTCAGTCCTTATGATGGGGACAGCCAGCAAGCCATAAGAGCCTTGACGTGATGTTCCTGGTGGCCTTTCTCGTCCTCACAGTAGGGACTGGAGATGGAGTGGGAGAGAGTTGTTGCAGACTTACTGCTCTCACGCCCTCTCTGGCTTTGATGTTTATGTAATACGCGTTGGTGTTTCTGGCTTGTTTTGTAGGCTACTTTGCCGACAATTGGAAAGACTATTTACTGGACAAAGACCCTCCGATGACGAAGGCATTCTTCGACACAGCTGAGAAAAAACCATTCTGCAGTGAGTGGTGAATGTGTGTTGGCTCTTCCGTCGGACCCTGGCATTTTGGGGGAGGACAGAGTCTCCGCTTTCTGGACGCTTTCTGGAAAATGAGGGCAGTGGTAGCTAGAGCTTGGTGTTTGGAGCCAAGAGGGTGTAAGACCAACACAGCTTCTGTCCTAACAGTTGTGTGACCTTGGTGGAGTTTTTTTCTCCTCTCTGAGTGTCCTGGGCTAGTTTGGTAAATGGAGCCAATCATGCAGGCCTTCTAGGTTATTGGGACTGAAGTGAGACTGAGTCACAGTACCCACACCCCGGGACAGTCACTGTCATCACTGACCTCCTCTGGGAAATTGTTTTTGAAGAGACATGAAGTTGGGGGTGGGAACAAAAAGGTGGATGCTACCATTCAGTACTGTTCTACACTGGGCTTCTTGAACCTACCACTCACAGGCCCTTGGCCTGTGAACATTTTTTCTTTTCTTTTAAATAATATTTTTTATTTTCATTTATTTTAGCCATCTCTCCCTGTATTCCCTCAACGACCCCCTCTCCACTCCTCTTCCCCACTTGATCCTCCCATTCCAGTGCCCCCCATCCATATCTATCTATTCTGTTTCCCTGTCCTAATGAGATCTCTCTGTTCCCTCTAGTCCCTTCCTCTATGTCTACCCTCTGTGGTTCTGTGGATAATAGCTTGGTTATCATTGACTTAACAGCTAATATTCACATGTAAGCCAATACATACCATATTTGTCTTTCTGGGTCTGGATTACCTCACTCAGGATGATTTTTTTTTTCTAACTCCAGCCATTTGCTTGCAAATTTTATGATGTCATTTTGTTTTAACAGCTGGGTAATACTCCATTGTGCAAAAAGTACCACATTTTCGTTATCCATTCTTCTGTTGAGGAACATCCAGGTTGTTTCCAGTTTCTATTATGAATAGAGGAGCAAAGCACATGATTGAGCAAGTGTCTCTGTGGTGGGATGAAGCATCCTTTGGGTATATGCCCAAGAGTGGTAAAGATGGACCTTGAGGTAGATCAATTCCGATCTTCCTGAGGAACTGCCACACTGATTTCCATAGTGGCTGTACAAGTTTGCACTCCCACCAGCAGTGGAGGAGTGCTCTTACTCGACATCCTCTCTGTTTTGTTGATCTTAGTCATTCTGACAGGTGCAGGTGGGAGATGGTATCTCAGAGTCATTTTGATTTGCATTTCTCTGAGGACTAAGGATGTTGAACATTTTTAAAAGTGTTTTTCAGCCATTTGAGTTTTTCTATTGAGAATTCTCTGTTTAGATCTGTAACCCATTTTTTAATTGGGTTATTTTTTCTTGATATCTAGTTTCTTGAATTATTTATGTATTTTGGATATTAGGCCTCTATTGGATATGTAGTTGGTAAAAATCTATTCCCATTCTGTAGGCTGCCACTTTGTCCAAATGACAGTGTCCCTTGCCTTACAGAAGCTTTTCAGTTTCATGAGATCCCTTCTGCTAATTCTTGATCTTAGTGCCTGCCCTACTGGTGTTCTGTTCAGAATGCCTTTTCCTGTGCCAATAAATGTGGTCAAGGATACCTCTCTTTTCTCTTCTCTCAGGTTCGGTGTATTTGGTTTTATGTTGAGGTCTTTGATCCATTTGGAGCTGAGTTTTATGCAGGGTGATAAGTGTGGATCTGTTTGGATTCTTGTACATGTGATCATCCAGTTTGATCAGCACATTTGTTAAAGATGCTATCATTTTTCCAGCATGGTGGCACACGCCTGTACGTCATCCTTACCTACATACTGAGTTTGAAGGACCTGGACTCCACAAACAACATTCAAGACCAGAGAAAATGCCTCTCTGAGTCTTTGCAGAGAAACAATAGAGGGAGAAAAAGGGGATCTTGACTTTTCAGACCCTACCGGGGAGCACAGGGTTCCTCTCTTATGAGCTTCTCTCCCTGTTTTACAGTGTATCATTACTTTGTGGACATTGTGTCTTGGAACAAGAACGTAAGAAGAGGGTTCATCACAATCAAACTGAGAGGCGAAGATGGAAATGTCACAGAATCCAAAATTGATCAGTAAGTAGAGCTACAAGCTGCGTCCGCTCGTTGGGATGTTCTTCTCACTCAGCAGCCACTCTCGGTGGGTGAAGGGACTCGCGTTCTTGAGCTTGCCCGCCTCTTGTTGCCTTGGTGGCTTTCTTCCCCTCCTCCTCCTCTGCATCTCCCTTCCCGCAACTCTCTTTCCTCATTTGCACACCCTCTCTGTGTGTCCCACTTGCTTGTTTTCATTTTTCTTCCTTCTCTTTTTATTTCAGCAATTAGATGGTTAGAATGAAAAAAAAAAAAATCCGTGCCTTCTGTGAAATCCAAGCCATGCAGGACGGTGCTGATTTCACTGTGCTGGTGGAACACACCTGTAATCACAGCACTTGGGAGGCAGGGCCAGGAGGACTGTAGCAAGTGTGAGGCTAGCCTGGTCTACCCTGGGGGTGTAAGTCCAGCTGGGCTTATATAGTAAGACCTGTCTCAAAACCCAAAATGGGCTGGAGCAATGTTCAACTGTCAAAGCACTGGCTGCTCTTCCAGAGGACCCAGGTTCAGGTCCCAGCTCCCACGCAGTGGCTCACAACCACCCATAACCCCAGGTCCAGAGCATCCAATGCCCTCTTCTGTCTTCCACAGGTGTCAGGCGTGTATAAGTGCTACACAGACAGACATGCAGACAAACACCACATACACATAAACAGCTATAATAACGGCACCCCCAAAAGAAATGTGCAGACTTAAGCATTTCACTTTGTGTGTGTGTGTGTGTATCTGAGAACTTTTATCATACTCCACAAATGCATATAATTTTGACTTGTAATACAAATAATATTAATTTAAAAACATAGAGGAATATACAATATAAAAATGCAAGTTTATGCTAAAGAGTTCTTGATAGATTCTGTTTTTCTTTTCTTTTTTTAAAGATTTATATATATGTATGTATGCCTTCGTGACAGAAGAGGGCACCAGGTATCATTACAGATGGTTGTGAGCCATCAAGTGGTTGCTGGGAATTGAACTCAGGACCTCTGGAAGAGCAGCCAATGTTCTTAACTGCCAAGCCATCTCTCGATCCTCTCAGATTCTGTTTTTCAAATGTCTTCATTTTTTGGAAACCAAAATAAATAAATAAATAAATAAATAAATAAATAAATAACCCACATTTTATTTAACTGTTCTTGGGCAAGTGGTCCTGGGCGGCATAAGAAAGCAGGTTGAACAAGCCATGGAGAGCAAGCCAGTGAGCAGTGTTCCTCCACGGCCTGTGGTATTGTATTCCCCCAAATATTGTGCATGCTAATAAACTTATCTGGGGTCAGAGACAGAGCAGCCACAATATTAAACATAAAGGATAGGCAGTGGTAGCACACGCCTTTAATCCTAGCATTCCAGAGGCAGAAATCCATGTGTTCAAGGATACAGACAGGCATGGTGATTCATCACACCTTTAATCTCAGAAAGCGAGGCTTTAATTCCAGGGAGTGGTGGCAGAAAGCAGAAAGGTATATAAGACGTGAGGACCAGAAACTAGAAGCATTTGGCTGGTTAAGCTTTTAGCTGGTTAAGCTTCAGGCTTTTGAGCAGCAGTTCAGCTGAGACCCATTCTGGATGAGGACTCAGAGGCCTCCAGTCTGAGGAAACAAGACCAGCTGAGAAGTTGGCCAGGTGAGGTTAGCTGTGGCTTGTTCTGTATCTCTGATCTTTCAGCTTCACCCCAATACCTGGCCTCAGGTTTGATTTTATTAATAAGACTCTCTAAAATTCCTGCTACAACGGCCTCTGCCTACCTCTCTTCCTGCCTTGCTAGAGTCCCTGCCTTGAGTTCCCTTAGTGATGGACTGTGATCAGCTGTGTAGGCTAAATGAACTCTCTCCTTCCCAAGTTGTCTTCGGTCATTTCTATTACAGCAACAGGGAGCAAGCTAGGGAAGTGCCTGTGTAAATGCATCTTGCATTGAGAATAGTAGTTTTGGGTTATTGAATCAAGTGTGTGGAACACATTGCCTAAGGGGGTTCTAGGCTAGACCCTGTGAGATGCTAATACCACTGTACTCTACCTGTGAAGAAACTGAGGCTAGAGAGCTGAGTGGTTTGGTCAGTGCCACACACCTAGTCAGTGTGAGTGTGGCGGGAGCAGCAGGTCTGTTCACCAAGTACCCCCATCACTCTGTGACTGAGTCTGCTCCTCTCACTGAGCCACTGCACCGCCCTCCACCCCCCTCTCTACCCCCCCACCCCCTCCACCGCACCCCACCCTACCCCCCTCGCCACTTCCTTGCACTTGAACTTGGAGAGTGGTGGTGTTTTTCAGGGTTCCTCACTGACTGGTTTCCGATCTGATATCCCCGTGCCCACAGCAGGCTAGGGTTCTCTGGAAGGGCAGCAGCAGGGAGGACGTCATGAGAAACCAGCCTCAGGTGGTGCATGGGCCGTGGGTTAAGTGGAGGGAACCGGCACAGATCTGGCCCGGAATACAGACTTCCAGAATACGCAGCACCTAAGGGGTCTGGAGGACACTGTGCGTCACACCCGGGAGGGCTCTGACCCAGTTCGGGTGTTCATGCCGTCAACCACTTTCATGTTTCCTTTGCGTACATCTGAGAACTTTTATTCTTACTAAGTGAATCTTGACCAAGTGTGAATCCCTAAATGTGAATTTTGAAATATCTTTTTGTTTGTTTTGAGGCAGGGCCTTGTTGCAATCCAGGCTGATCTTGAACTCACTAAGTAGTCCAGACTGGTCTTACCTTCTTGCCTTCACTTTTTTAAAAAATAATTTATTTATTTTTATTTTATGTGCATTAGTGTTTTGCCTGCATATATGTCTGTGTGAAGGTGTCAGATCCCCACCTGGAACTGGAGTTACAGACAGTTGTGAGCTGCCATGTGGGTGCTGGGAATTGAACCCTGGTCCTCTGGAAGAACAGCCAGTGCTCTTAACCACTAAGCCATCTCTCCAGCCCTTGCTTTCATTTCTTGATTAAGATCAAGGCCTTGGACCATTGAGTTGGCTCAGTGGGCAAAGTCATTTGCTGCTAAGCCTGACAGCCTGGCATGGTGGAAAGGAGAAAACCGACTTCCCCCACAAGTGGTCCTCTGACCTACACTGTGCCGTGCATGTGTGCACCTGTACACAGAGATAGAGAGGGTGAGATGAAAGAAAGAAAGAGAGAGAGAGAGAGAGAGAGAGAGAGAGAGAGAGAGAGAGAGAGAGAAAGGAAGAAGGATGATAGACAGATGATAGACTATAAATGTAACTGAAAACAACTGTCTGTTAAGAGCTAGACTTTAAGAAAGAGAAGAGACAAACACAAGAAGGTAACTTTTATTATGGACTATGGGGGTCCAGCCCCTCGATAGTCCCCTCCCAGGGTCTGGGAAGAATCTACAACCAGCTGATAATTAATCTTTGATGAGAAGAAATGAATCTATGTACACGAAATTCCTTAGTCCAATACATTTTATTATTCTGTCAGTTTTCTCTCTACAAGCTTATACTCTGCTCTCATTTTTAGCTCCTTTCTTGCCCAATTTCTCTTTACATTTATCTGTTGTCCCCTCCAGGTTCAACCTTAATTTCTTCATTTAGTTCCACCCCTTCTAGGTTCTCATCCATTTAGTTCTTTCCCATATCAGCTCCTCTCCCATCTCCTTCTCTCTCATCTTGTTCTTTCCCATCTGGCTCTTCCTCATCTTCCATCTCATTCCTCTAGTACTCTCTTCTAGCCCTTCAATCTAGTTCTTCCCCATCTCACTTTCCTCTCAAGTTCTTACCCATCTAGTTCTTCCATTCTCTTTTTTCTTCTCCATCCTCCAGTGCCCTGGAAGTCCTGGTATATGTACACTTACAAGCAGTATTCCCTTAGCAGTGCAAAGCCAGGCTTCCAGGGTCAAATGGAGGGGTGCTAAGAATCACATAGAGAGGCAATAACCATTAATTATCATTTGCAACCCCAAAGGGAAGTGACCAATGGGGAAATGAATTAACTAAAGGCTAAATTCAGGTAATATCTAAGAAGAGGAATCTTATGTGCTCGACTATAATCTTAAGCATGATTAGTAGAAAATGTTAAGACTCTATAAGTTGCTAGGTCAATGGGAGAAAATAAAACTGCCTTCTTTTTTCCTGTGGCTCCTATCTGTCCAAGCTATCTGCTGTTTTTCTGCAGGGTGGGGAAAAGTGTACTCAGTCGCTAGGCAACCTGTGTACAGGTGGATGCCTCTGGTGATAGTTAAAGGGAGATCTGGAACTAGAGGTAAGATTTGGAAAAGGAGGAAGTAAAGCTTAATTGGCACATCTGCCAGGCTTTCTCAAACAGGTAGTCTGGACACTTAAGTCTGTCCTTAGAGAGTACAGAGGTATCTCTGATAAGGTACTTTCCTCCATCTGGCCAGATGCTGCCAATGACTTGATAATTACAGGGAGGCTTGAACTGGGGTTCTGGCTGTGAATAACTTTCAGCGCACAAGGTTATCTAAATATTCCTTTAGTAGAGGGGAAATGGTGTCCAATAAATGATGGAAAAGCTACAATAGCACACAAGAAACTCATAGCAGGAAACAGCTGATAATCAAAAGCCAAATATCATCAAGGCTCCTTGAACCTTAGCTTGACCTCTGGAAGGCCCTTGGCTGAAATCCTACTTTATATTCTTGAGGCTTGCAGCAAACTTTACCTGGGTCTCATGGTAAGACCTGTAGTTCTTGGAAAGTTGGGCCGGAGGATTGCAAATTCGAGGACTATTTAAGCCACGGAAGGATAGGCTGGACACATTAGTAAAATCCTGCCCCAAAGATCGAAGCACAAAGCAGACTTAGGAGACTGCTCAGTGGTGGGTGGCTTCATGATGGTGCTATGGGTTTGCGCTCCAGTCCTGGGAGAAAGGGGAAGGCAGAGAACACTGGAGCCTTAACATCCTTAATGCTGCTTTCACATTCCATTTTTTTTTTTAATGGTTAAAGTAACATGTATTTAGAATTAGCCTCTGGGCTCAATTTAGATGATCCCAATTTTGTTGGCGACATCCAACACGTCATAATCTGAAACCCCAGTGATGCTCAGTCATCTCTCTCTGGGGCGGCCCAGCACTGTTCTTACTCCCCTGGGAAGCTGGGGAAGGAAGCCACGGGTAACTCACAAGCACCCTGGGTTTGGGGCAGTGGGCTGGCTCCAGACATAGATCTCAGGTTGGGATTAGGGGATCACACAGGTGTTTGTTACCCCAGCCCCACTGGAATCACATCTAAGGCTTCATGGAGTGTGGCAGGGCTGGAGGAACTCGGAGCTGGGTTTCATCACTGCACACTGCTGCATATAAGATCTCCCAGGTGGAGAGCCTGGGCTCCACAGGCAGCTGTGGGGGATGTGTGTGAGATTCCGACTGCATCTTGAACACAGCAGACAGTCGAGTAGCACACTTCCTCAACGTCACTTGGGGGGCCAGTAGCTTCCTTTAGGCATTCCTACAGGCTCAGGGGTCTTTGCTCATGAAAGCCAGCGTGTGTAGGCAAGGGGACCAAAGGGTCACCTGCTGGGCAGACTTGGAGGCTGGAAGCAGCGTTCACTCGTTAGCAATCTACATTCATTTTAAAATGCCATTTCTCCCTTCCAGCGAACCATCAACGTTTCAGAAATACCATCAAGTGAGTCTACTTGCAAGATTTAATCAAGACCTGGATAAAGTGGCAGAAATGTCCTTGTTGTTCTCCACAGGGTCTGTAGTAGGTCCAAAATACAAGCTCAGGGTCCTGCGAATGAAGCTGAGGTCCCTGGCCCATCCAGACAGGTGAGCCACAGGCAGGTCTGGCAAGCTCCTGTTACCTTCCTCCCTCCTCCCCTCTCTCTCTCCCTCCCTCCCTTCCATTCTTTCTGAGACAGGGTCTTATGATGTAGCCCAGGCTAGCCTCAAACATGTGGCAATTCTCCTGCCCCAGGCTTCAAAATGATGAATTTCTTTTACTGAAAAATTTAGGGTACTGTGCCAGACAATGGTGGTGCACACCTTTAATCCCAGCACTTGAGAGGCAGAGGCAGGCAGATCTCTGTGAGTTCAAGGCCAGCCTGGTCTACAAAGTGAGTTCCAGACAGAGAAACCCTGTCTCAAAAAACAAACAGGAAAATGGTGAGTGTACTGCAAAAGTATTTAGCAATAAAAGATTCTTTAAAAGGGTATTCACTGTATCTTATAACAAGGTCTTTTGATTAATTGATTAATCAATTAATTAATCGTGCAGGTCTGTATTCCTATCTAGTCTGGAGGCTGTGTGTCAGGGGAATCAAAAGTTTCAGGACTGAAGAGGCTACATGAGTTCAAGGAAAACCTGGGTTTCATCGAGACCCCATTTCAAGAACCAAAAGGGAAGAGCCAGGGTGTGGCGCTTTCTCATCCCAGCCCTTGCCAAGTGGGGGCGGGAGGAGTGAGAGGGGAATAGAGGACCTGGGCTGATTCCTAGAGCCCACGTGGTGCCGCACAAGCATCTGGAAACTGCAGTGAAGAGGGGGTCTGAAGCCCTCATGTGACCTCCAGGGGTACACAGCCCGCACGAAGGCACACCACCCATACACATAAAATACACCCCCCACCCCCCCACCCCCGCTTCTTTTTCAAGACAGGGTTTCTCCGTGTAGTCCTGGCTGTCCTGGAATTTGCTCTGTAGACCAGGCTGGCCTCCAACTCACGGAGATCTGCCTGGCTCTGCCTCCCGAGTGCTGGGATGAAAGGCGTGCGCCACCACTGCCACCTGCCTATAAAATACATCTTTTAAAAAAGACTGGAGTAGCCAGGCAGCAGTGGTGGCACACACCTTTAATCCCAGCACTCGGGAGGCAGAGCCAGGAGGATCTCTGTGAGTTCGAGGACAACCTGGTCTACAGCGTGGGTTCCAGGACAGGAACCAAAACTACACGGAGAAACCCTGTCTCGAAAAACCACAAAAAAAAAAA